ACGAAGGTCGCCACATGCTAAGGTAATATAAGCTTGCCATCGTCCAGCAATTCATTGACGTCAAATCCGTTGGGTTTCGGAACGACGGCACCATGTGTATAACGTGACCTCCATACGTGTGTACCAACTTGAACATCATATATCACCTAGCCTCGGCGTCGCAGGACTCGTCCTGGTATCCAAGCCATCTGCCGTTCTTGGTCAGCAGCCGCAAACACAAGATCGCCCACTTTGAATATCCTTTTTCGCGCCTCATACTGTCTGTTGTATAAGCGCTCCATTACCGAATTCTTACTTGAAGTGGCGGACGCATGGGAGTCAGCAAATCTAGCGTGGTTCTCAATCTTCGACCCATAAGCCCTTCAGCTGGTGATTTCCCATCTGGTAAGTTAGGATTCGGAGTAACTCTATAGTTCAACCGAAAACGTTCCAATCTTGCGTTCAGCGATTGTTGTGTCGCCGCTGACGTCTTCACCCCACGACCGCAAGAAGAAGTCCAAAGACGAGCCAGAAAGAGACTTGTATGCATGAAATCACGGTTGCTTACATAGTTTTGAAGACAAAATGAAGGGAAGCTATTAAGGTACACTTAAGCCGACCAACAGAAGAAAAAGGCCAAACGCAACGGCGAATAAGCAGCCGTGTACTCAAGAGCAAATCGCATATGTCCTTAATAATAGCATCATGAGACCTCAAACCTAAAGCGAACGTCCATTTACAGTGACGGGCACTGGTCAGTCAGAATAATGAAATGTAGTGTTTAAACATATGTCACGAAACAAAGGAGAATAAGAAGTGCAGACCAAAAAGTTAAAAGCTAGTACAATAATTGAGTGACAACAAAATATTCCTTTAACATAACCAAGTAGGAAACTGATGTGGATAAACCAATGGAATTTGTCCTTGCAAATGGCCCTGTTGAAGAGGACAAGAAGATGAGCGTCCATTAATAATGAAGTGTGTGTACCAATCGGGCTAACCCAGTGTAGCGTTTAGACAACAGTCAAGAAGTAGAAAATAGGAAGAGTAAAGAATGCCTATTCAGCTCGAACAAAAATTGGATGTCTAATACCTGTTTTGCTAATACCTCCCTCTCTTAGAAAATGAGTTACCTGGAGTGCACATAGCTCTTCCGACGCAGATCCACCAAGAGCGGTTGCACAAATCTTCTTGTTCGATTTGGCCTGAACCGGGCTCCATTTTCCATGCATTCCATTGGACGAAGGTCGCCACATGCTAAGGTAATATAAGCTTGCCATCGTCCAGCAATTCATTGACGTCAAATCCGTTGGGTTTCGGAACGACGGCACCATGTGTATAACGTGACCTCCATACGTGTGTACCAACTTGAACATCATATATCACCTAGCCTCGGCGTCGCAGGACTCGTCCTGGTATCCAAGCCATCTGCCGTTCTTGGTCAGCAGCCGCAAACACAAGATCGCCCACTTTGAATATCCTTTTTCGCGCCTCATACTGTCTGTTGTATAAGCGCTCCATTACCGAATTCTTACTTGAAGTGGCGGACGCATGGGAGTCAGCAAATCTAGCGTGGTTCTCAATCTTCGACCCATAAGCCCTTCAGCTGGTGATTTCCCATCTGGTAAGTTAGGATTCGGAGTAACTCTATAGTTCAACCGAAAACGTTCCAATCTTGCGTTCAGCGATTGTTGTGTCGCCGCTGACGTCTTCACCCCACGACCGCAAGAAGAAGTCCAAAGACGAGCCAGAAAGAGACTTGTATGCATGAAATCACGGTTGCTTACATAGTTTTGAAGACAAAATGAAGGGAAGCTATTAAGGTACACTTAAGCCGACCAACAGAAGAAAAAGGCCAAACGCAACGGCGAATAAGCAGCCGTGTACTCAAGAGCAAATCGCATATGTCCTTAATAATAGCATCATGAGACCTCAAACCTAAAGCGAACGTCCATTTACAGTGACGGGCACTGGTCAGTCAGAATAATGAAATGTAGTGTTTAAACATATGTCACGAAACAAAGGAGAATAAGAAGTGCAGACCAAAAAGTTAAAAGCTAGTACAATAATTGAGTGACAACAAAATATTCCTTTAACATAACCAAGTAGGAAACTGATGTGGATAAACCAATGGAATTTGTCCTTGCGAATGGCCCTGTTGAAGAGGACAAGAAGATGAGCGTCCATTAACAATGAAGTGTGTGTACCAATCGGGCTAACCCAGTGTAGCGTTTAGACAACAGTCAAGAAGTAGAAAATAGGAAGAGTAAAGAATGCCTATTCAGCTCGAACAAAAATTGGATGTCTAATAACTGTTCTCCCAATACAAGTCAGCATTGGTAATGACGTACTGGAAGCCCCCTCCCCTTTTTGCTATCTTGGGATTGTGGTTTCGACTGACCAGCAAATATACATTGAGCTACGTATCCGCGCATCGAAGGCAGTGAATTCATTCGGGTAGCTTGAGTAACGAGTTTGGAGCAACCGCCTTCTTTCCGTTGGCACGAAGCTGACGATCTACCAGTCCATGGTGTCCGTTCGGCTATACGACAGCTAAACTTGGGCGGTATACCGTGGGAATGTGAGAAATCTCGAGCGGTTTCATCAACAGTGTTTGCAACGGATCCACCGCATCGGGTGATACAACAGAGTTACAGACACGGAGGTTTTGCGCCGAAGTGGAATGCAGGCAGTAGACTGCATAATGTAATGTTTCAGCTATAGGCCTTAACGGCGCTTCGCTGCCACGCGATCACCAACACTCGCGGGCGGGCTCAACATCCAACGAGTTCTCCCACCCCTACGCGGATTCGAACCGCGGACCTTATGGCTGCAAACCAGGTGCGCAGACCACTGGGCCACCGGTAGACAGTGGACTGTATAGTTTTGCTAAGACACCTGAGATGTTTAGGTAATGTGTGCGGTATGGATTCGACGCGAATACCGTGGCCAACGTGGACCACGCAACACAAGAGAAATTGCTCTGGAACATCCGTGAATAATGAACAGTCCCAGTAAGTAACTGACTAGCGATTGACATGTGGATGTTTAATGTTCCTTTTCACATGTTAGTTGTTAGAGTGACTACAGCTATAAGTCCCGTGGTTCCACCGACCATTGGAAGATAGGTAAGCTTATGAAAATTAGTGGTCTTGTTTGCGTAAATCTACTTAAATTGACCAGTTACCATGCTAAACAAAACAATGTTGCGGACTCTATTCAGACTTTCACTTGTTCCCCGATTTCGGCGATCTGGTTGCGCACGTTTCGTCACCATACCAGGTGGCATGGTCAGCGCGTTGGTATGTAGTACACCCATCTTGCGTCATCGTCATTCTAGCCCTAGTGCAAGTAGCATGTGTACAGCTTCACTCTAATATGACTAAGTACTGACTTTGTGCCATAACTTATTTGTTCTGAACCCGTTTAGTACATAAGCATCATGTCGAATTTACCACTTATTGGGTTTAATTAGCACAGCCGTGTTTCACGCATGCTCCACGTTTTGCTCGCCACAGTTCCGTACACTTAGTGACTGTCACCTTTGATATCTTCACAAGCTTATTCCAGTGACATGATATGTCCTGACGATGAGCTACGGCATCTTCTTCTTCGTATTCGTTCATGACCTACACCACTGTATAAGGTCCGTGGCACTGTTCACTAGACCACACGAGGCTACCTCCATCTATTTTTTAAATCGATACTGTTTCTTGAAATTATTTTGTAGAATCAATTACCCTATCTTGACCCCAATTTACACCTACACCTGCCCAACATCGCCATAACAATAAATTAGAATTCATGCACTTTTAGTTGCGCAGTCCCACCATTTTGCCTCACAGTTACTGTCCAGTTTGTGGGTTTAACTTCTACATGTAAATTCGTATTTATATGGTGCCTAATGCTGTTGGTGCGGCATACATAAATCAAGCCTTTTCACCGCAGTTGGTCTACGCCGCCTTACACTTAATCTAGATCTTCTTAACCTGAATAGATACTATTCCACTTTATTTGATCTGATAAGTTCTATTATTATACTGTATATTCCTTGTCAATCTTGCGTGTTAATTCCCATCAAACATTATGTCGGTTTTCTAGTACTGCCGGTGTGAGTGCGCTTGATGTGAATGTTGTCAAGGTGTCTGCATGTCTGATACCCTTTACTTAGATTACTGGTTCCAGGAGAACGTGAATCGTTGCTGGAGGGACAGGGGGCACCGTCCTCGTGACTGCGTTAGACGCAAAGAAGGGTTCCACAGCGTGAAGCGGACTAAGGTCCAGCCACCGCTTTGTGTACGTCTACTACACGTGGTTCCCCAATTAGGCGTGAATGCTTTTGCTCCGCCTGTTGAAGAAATGTGAGCCTGCTGGCTTGAGGAAAAGTGACTTCCACCTACATGCCTCCCAAGCTTATACCTTCTAGTTTACACTGGATATGGGGTGTGTGGATGGAACTGTGAGTGCTGCAACACAAGCCACTCATGGTCCCTCTGCAAGGTCAGGCTTGTTGTGGCTGCCTCCGCGGCGACCACTGAGGCAGGCAACTTCGGACACGGATGCTGCCAATCCATACTTATAAGCAACAGTCTATCGAATGGACAGATCCAACAAAACCATGGAAATCACTGGAAGAAAACTGGTTTAATCACCGTAACAACATCATGGCATGTTAGCTATAGGTGAACAACGCACTTCAGCTATTATGTCACAATAAACGGAGTTATTGTTCGTTTGCACATGTCATTTTTCATTTTCACTCTTCTTCAATTGTTAGGTATTAAGCATCTGGATGTAAGCAAGTAATTTTGTCACCAAGGTTACAAATGGCACGGCTTAAGTTAGCTCAAAACATAACAAAAAGCAAAAGACTATCGCTAAACAATAATCATAACAGTCCACTCTCTAACAGCATCGTGACACTCAAGCAGGTTCTGCTAAAGGTATGTATTTTTCTAAAAACATCTCTGTCGTATGGAAAGCTACAAAATAACAAGTTCTGTTAGCTTGGCTTCACCAATCTATGCTTTCTCTGGTGTATGCAATATGTGTCCATCGGCGACGGTGTTTTCCATCGCCACATCTTCTGCCATCTCGGAAGTGACCATCTGCTTTACTTCGGATTCACTATCGACCGTTCCGGCAGCACGCAGCGTCCATACGTTCACATCCCGTTCGGCCTTGTGTGAATCATAATACGTGTTAGCGCTGATTTGCACGTCCAGGCCGAATAGATTGCTTGTAATGGGGACAAGTGAGAAGAGAACAATGTGAATGCTTCAAGACAAACGATGTGCGATCCAAACGTGGAAGGTATCTATGAGTAAGCGCATTGGATGCAAGCAAAAGGTGGTTCATTGCAGTTAGATCGGGACAGAATGTCACTCTGACATCCACAGAAGCGCTAGACGGACCATTGTATATCAAAAATTTACCCATTCACTTACAGTATAATCAATTATGCCGCACTGACAAGACAACACTTCAAGGCTATGCGACGACGTAAATGCTCGGCGGAAAATATCGCACGACTTCAACCAGCGCTTTCCTCAACCGAGTTTTCAGCTTTTGCAGTTAATGATCTATAACTGCAACACGATCATCTCATGAGTTATGCAAACTTTTACTTCAACTAATGTTGTTTTAGAGGAGAATCTGTCTACTCACAAATAGACTTTCTTTATCGCTGCTGAAACAACTTCGAAGGAACAAAGTAGGTGCGTACAAGTGCAAACTGATCAGCCGCGTCAAAACCTGACTTTGGTAATTAAAGCTGAAATAACAAGGCGAAGCAGGTTGTCCGTCGAAAGGGGACTGGGATTTCTGGGGGCTGTTGAAGCAAATTTGTGGTAAAAGTACCATCAGTTATTCTGCTATACTGGATGTTGACAAACGCAATTCTGAGTTTGATTCCTCTCCGTCGACTGTTTTCCCATTTCTCTCCTTCACTACCTCAGACTCAGTCGCTCTATTTGATCCAGTTAACGTCAACAGCGAACTCAAAAAAACTAAAGTCAAATGAATGTAGTGGCCATAAGGGTTTATTACCTGTGATTTTGAAGTAGTGCGCCGATTCCCTGACAATATTCCGGAGTGATATTTTTAACTAGTGACTCACGACCGATGTCATGCCCGACGTCTGAAGATCAGCCAGAATAACCCCAGTTCCTACAGATGAATCTCAAAAGTACCAGCCAACTACCGTGCTCCTAAAAGTCTTCGTAAAACTACTAGCTGCGAGGATTTCCACAGCCACTCATGTGGATGATGTCTACCAATCTGAATTTAGACTCCAGCATTCCTATACCTTAAGATTCTATGGTTCCTGCGTTGGATAAGTGGTGCAGGTCCGTAGGGCTTCCTTTGCTTCACTGTTCAAATGCGTTAGAGAGTCTTGACAGAGCGGTTCTGTCTAATATACTTTATTTGAACGGAGTCCACCCTAGCGTATGCAACTTGTTACGTGATTATTTCACTGATTCTATGCTCCTTACACAGTTAAGTGGTAACAGCTCCTCTATACTCCGCGCTGACTGTAGCACTTTGCGGGCCCGATCCTCTCACCCTTTGTACGCTATTTATGTAGAAATTCTCCCCATACCTTCAACATTCGTTAAATGTAAACGTGCTGACGATGTTGTCTTGGGGTACAGAGCTCTCCCCATTGAGATATCTATGCTTGGATTTGATTTAGACGAACTTATGAGTTTATCATCAACCAGATCCCTTAATCTCAATGCTTTGAAATGTACAGCTGTAACGTTTTCACCACTCTGTCCTGGTGAACTGCGAGTAATTAACTTTGGAGGACAAAACCATGCTTATTCCATCTACTGTCAAATACCTCTGGGTCTGCTTTTCACAAAGCTTCCTTGGTCAGTGCACGTTTTGAAAACTTTTCACAAAAGCATAATATTAGCTTATGCTATCCGACTTAAGAAGATCTCCGTACTGCAAAGTTTAATTTTGAGTTTTGTAACTGTATGTGTACTATCGCACTGGTTGGACTGTTCCCAAGTAAGATTCCCTGGAATACTGTAAAAGGACTTGGTTTTGATTGCGCGATCGATTAACCATATTTCCATTTTATCGCTCGTAAGCATTTGGAAGCTTACATGAATTTTTCTTCTAAGGTCCTAAGTGATTGCGTTAATTCCGATATGTAATGCTCTCTCACAAACGTTATCTGGCTCTCAGACGCGCTCAAAATATAGGGTTTTTATTTCCCTGCACTTCTTCGTATCGTAATACAATGTTGTCTTATTCGTCAAGCTGTTGTCACCCTATGAAAGTCATGAATGCTTTACGCATGCGGCTTCCTGCATGACATGCACCTACCTTTGACTTGCCGAACAACCTCCTCGTGGTGCCAGCTGGGTGATACGGGATTTTCCCCTTCCAGCAAATGGTTCCGCGGCAGTGTTTCTGGACGAGGTGGGTTTTCGCCTGCCAAGCGTTCTCCATATAAAAACCCAGACATGTACGTGTAACAACGCTGTGATATGGCGGACGGGACTCGCCACTAAATAAAGTCACTGCCTATTGCTTCATCCTGGCGAAGCATTGCATTCCAGCGGCTTTATGCTGTAATTCTGAGGAACATTGGGCCGCTGTTTAAAATAGGAACAAACGAAAAGCGTATGAACTGAGCAATCAGTTACCGGCTCCCAATGGACGCGATTCCCTGAATTCGCTCCGTTGCCTTGCGGGCAGGCCATCCAGCCAAATGCTCGGGGTAGTGTCCCCTAAGTCAACACCCTACTTCTGCTTGGGCAACCGAGTAGTACCTCGCCCTCTGACGAAACCACGGACTTTACTGTGTTGTGTTTTCTCTTACAATTTCTGTACCTCCTTTTGTGTTCCAAGGTTTCTGATGGCTCTGTGTCTATTCCTAGACTGTTGCAAATATATATATATATATATATACCTTTAGCTATTTAATTTTTAGATCTGTATTTATGTAATTTCTGCGGATCCCACCATTCAGTATATTCGCAGTGATAGTATAAATGCTGCGAATGCACCCATTTAGGTGTAGTAAGCTTATTTTGAATTGACTTGAACCTGACTTCGCTGTAATGGGATTCACCAGTAGCTCTGTTATGGAGACCTAATCTTTCCAAGAATGTTAGCACCGGTTACATTTTCCTGACCTCCAATTCTGTCATCCTTTTGCCGTGTGAAGTTTACACAGCGCATTGTCGGTGATAAAGTTATCAAGTCACCGTTCATTCGCTTCTATCCCATAAACAATTTCATCACGTTGTCGACTGCCTGATCCCCTCAGTGATAATGTTATCCACAATAGTCGTCAGATAGCAATTACGCCACCACTTGAAACTAAGGTTAATCATGCTATAAGTGTCAACGTTCACAGACAGTGATCTTCATTGACTAAGCGTATACAAGTGCTTCCGCTGAAGATTACGGTTTCTTGCACTGGGGGTCGCGGATTGTCCTACGGAGTTTTGTTCATCTCGGTACACCGAGGTAGAAAGCGTTGGGCAAATAAGTCCCAGAGGGAGTATCAATTCAAATCCGAGCAACTAGTTTTTTCATACTGGGTACAGTTCGCAACAGCGGTATCATTCACTTAGACTAAGAAACAGTAGTAAGCGGCTACGGTTACAGCTTGTGTGCACCGTATGATTGCAAAAAGATCCCACCTCCTGACAACTTAACGCCACCAACCTGTGCTAATAGGCCATGAGTGACTGCGGCAGACTAGTATGATCTATAACATAAATGCTGGGTGGGGCTAAACTCTAAGAGAAGACGAGTTACCTAAATTAGTAACCATTATCAGCTGGTCCCGATTCATTGCCATTTACTAATCCAGGCTACTAATGCGGTCGATGTGACACGCATGCTACATCATTGCGGCAGTTGATCCGTACTTGAGCCTGTCTTTATTTTCTTGCATTTTAGTCGTTTGCAGATTGATATCGCCGATGGGGCTGCGCTTGATGTGAATGTTGTCTAGGTGTCTACCTGTCTATCATTCTCCACCTCGATTACTTGTTCCAGGAACAAGTGAATCTTTGCTGCGGGATGGGGTGCACTGTCCTCGTGGCCGTGTTTGACTCAAAGAGTGGTTCCATTCATCCGGGGTGCAGCGGGCTCCGGCCTAGTCGCCGTCTTGTGTGCTCCCGGTACGCATGATTCCCCGCATAGATAGACAAGAACGCTGCTGCTATACATCTTGAAGGTGCGTGGGCCGGCTCTGTTGATGAAATGTGATTCCCATTTACATGCCCCCCGATCTGTCGGGTCACACTGGATATGGGATGTGTTGATGGAGCTGTAATTAGTGCATCGCAAACCACCCATGGTCTATCTGTAGAGCGCAGGCGTCTTTTGGCTCTCCGTAAGGAAACCGCAGTGACAGGTAAATCTGGAATGGGATGCCCCAAAACATATGGTGTGTCTCATCCTCCACTGCTATGTAAATCGCGAAGGTTTCCAAGATGAGCTTGTACTGTTGTACGATATGACATTTGGAAGATATTCAGTGAACTGTATTACGAAACCCCAGGATGCGCGCTTCTGATGAATTCAGTTAGGACAGAGGAATTTGGAGATTTTCCAAATGTAAATGGGAGACTGTCTGATAAGAAGGGACTGTCGACATGAATCACTAGACCACTGTTTCACACTGTGTGGTCCGCAGACCCCGAAAGGTCTGTGTGATGTGTTCAAGGAGTCCGCGGGATTTTACAAATGTTATAATCCTGTTGGAATCTTTTAGACGTAATCATTTTACTTTACAGTTAAAATTTGTTAAGTAATCTCTGACTGGCTACATTAGTCTAGTAATTGGCCAATATAATGCAAACACCTTCCAAGAAAGGACCTGGGCTTGGCAGAAGCATCAAACGTCAGTGAGCGAAGCTACCAAATTTCAGAACGATAATGTAATGATCTCCTGTGATGCGATTACTGATTACTGGTTGGAAACAGCAGCTGCATCTAGTATCACTCAGATACAAAAACCGGTTATGTTGAAGTGCGCCCGGTATATTTAATGTCGGCAAAGTGTTTGTTCAGGAACTTCTCAAATTCCGACGCAAACTTTGCCTCAACTACGTGCTGCGGCAGGTTGTTCCATGCATTAACTAGTCTCCGTGCAAAACAGTGAGTGGGCGACCCGCTTCAAATCCGGTACTACAAGCTTGTGCCGGTGTCCTCGTGTACTGCTAGGTGTGTGATGCATCAGCGGCTTCAACACAAGGTATTCATCGAGATGTACTATCCAGTGCGTCATGACGCGGCCAACCCGCAGTCGACGATAAGCTAAGGAGTAAAGCTCTAGTTTGTTACGCCGGGCTTCGTACAGCACACCTCGCAAATTGGGAATCAGCCTGGTGGCCACATGCTGCACTCGCTCAATCATTTCTACTTTTCCCCGGGTGATAGGACAATACGCGGGAAAGCAATACTCAACCATTGTTCGTATTATTAAGACAAAGAAGCGAGTGGCCATCTCTTCGGACCAAGGGCTGAAGCTGAGCCTGAGCGCCCAAAGTATACGAAAGCCGTTTCGGTAAAGCCTGTTCGTGTTGTCCATGAACTTTAGGTCATAGCGTGAGAGTACACGGAGGTTTCGCAAGAAAGGCGCGGGATACAACGGTTGCCCGGCAACAGTGTAGGTTTGACTGTGCTCAAACTCACCCAATCTCATGAATTTCTACTCGACCGTGTTGGTCGCAAGGTTGACCACAGCAGACCACGTGGAGAGGCGGTCGAGGTCCTGCTGAAGCAGGTCACAGTCATTGGGTGGGCGGATTACTCTCCACACCTTCAAGTCATCTGTAAACAACGCACAAGTTGAACAGAGTAGCTGAAGAACATCGTTTACATGGATCGGGAACAAAATGGGCCCAGTACAGTGCTTTGGGTCACGTCACTGCTCGTTGGATACCAGTCGGTCAACTGGTTGTTGACCTGGACCGTCCACTTACGACTAACGAGCAAATTCCTGATCCATCGGTGCAGTGAGCCGTCAACATCGCAGCAGCACTTCATGATTCACCTTGTCAAAAGCCTTACTGGAGTCAATGTAAAAGACGTCTACCGATTTGTCTTTGTTCAGCGCTTGCAACATTTTGTGCCTTGTCAACGAATGACCTTTCACAAAACCATACTGTGCGGGCGTCAAGAGGCTTTTCGACCCGAGAAGCTGCAGAAGACTTCTTTACGATCCTCTCAAACTCTTTGCCAAAACAGCGGTCAGGCAGAGTGGCCGGTAGTTCTCCACTTTGTTTCGGTCACCGCCTTTCACTAACGGCTTTACGAATGAGCATTTCCAGTCGCTCATCGTCATCACCATTATATACGTTAGCTGCAGGTGGAAAACACCTCAGTTATTGTGCCGCAATATAAAAAACAAAAAAGTGAAAAAAACAAGAGAGGCACGCCTGCTGAGTGCCCAGTAACAAATGGGCATCGTTCCGGAGAGCTGACAGTCGGCTATCGGTGCCGCAAAAGCAGAGTTATATTACACCTAGCGAATTGCATCGTGAATGGAGGGGAAAGCTAAGCGGGAGGGGATGGATAAAGGAACGCACAACACAAATGCCAATGGGGCAGGTTCTTAGCCATATCAGCAAATGTGTCCAACCAAACGTGTTCGTCCTCTTTCCAATCGCCCGGTAATAAACCAGTGGATAGTGACCTGTTGAATAGCTCAGGTACAAAAGACAAGATAATGGCCGATAAGCACTTGAGGACCAGTGCTTGGATTCCATCCGGCCCCCGGAAGGATTCGTCCCGTCAAGACTTGCCAGCAGCTTGCGTACAACTTCAATGCTGTCATCCAAGCTGTCTAGTTCAGCGGGAGCGGTACTCGTCGAATTCGTTTACGGACACCTGGTCACTTGCAAATACGGAAGCGACGAGCGTTACCGATGCGGACGCACAATCCGTGCTCGTGGCTGGCTTGCCGAACAACCTCCTCGTGGTGCCAGCTGGGTGGTTCGGGATTTTCCCGTTCCAGCAAATGGTTCGGCGGCAGTGTTCCAGGACGTGGTGGGTTTTCGCCTGGCAAGCGTTTTCCTTATAAAAAGCCACATATGTCCGATTAACAACACTGTGACGTGGCGGACGTGACTCGCCACTAAATAAAGTCACTGCCCCTTGCTTCATCCTGGCGAAGCATTGTATTCCAGCAATCTTATGCTGTACTTCTAGGGAGCATTGGGCCCCTGTTTGACAAAGGAACAAACGAAAGGCGTATGAACTGAGCAATCAGTCACCGGCTCCCAATGGGCGCGATTCCCTGAATTCGCTCCGCTGCCTTGCGGGCAGGCTATTAAGCCAAAGGCTCGGGGTGGTGTCCCCTAAGTCAACACCCTACTTCGGCTTGGGCAACCGGGTAGTATCTCGCCCTCTGAGGAAACCATGGACATTGTTGTGTTGTGTTTTATTTTACTGTTTCTGTACCTTCGTTTGAATCCCATGGTTTCTGATGGCATTATGTCTGTTAACAGACTTTTGCAATATATATATATATATATACGTGGTTGGGAGCTGTGCATCTGAGTCTTCCAACACTTGCACATTGCCTGCAGGCTTTAGGCGCTACTTTACATAGGCAAAGATTCTCTTGGGAGCAGTGTTTGCGGCGACTGCAAGCTGCTCTTCATAGCCTCTGAGCATTTTTGTTTTGGCGTGGTTGCAGAGATTTCGCCGTACATAGTACGCCTTGTAGTCCTCGTCAAAACCCGATAAAACGAATTCGCTCCATGGTCTGCGTCGTCATCGGACAAGTTTGCTGTACTCCTTGTCGAACCAATGTGGCTTGGTTGGCCCAAAATTCCGATGCTTTATGGATACCACTCGAGCACACAACGATTTCACCTCCTCTTTAATGCTAGTCCAACAGGTTTCAGCAGACGAATCCTCTGGTAACGACCAGTCCATCTAACTCGCGACTGGTAGAGGCTAGGCACAAATCAGAATTTGTCCCACAGAGGAGGCGAAAAGTAAATCATGTGGCCACTTTTGCCGATCATTTTGAAAGTTGTTAGCCTCCGAAAACGGCTAAACGGAAAGAAGCCAATCGTTGCGATCCCACTTAGGGAAGCCCAGAAGGAAAACATGGAAATCTCAGTGTTTGACGAATGTGCTACGATACAAAAGGTGACTGTTCTGTTACTTATATACTACTTCAAAGTTCCATGTAATAAAGTACTTAAAGTTGAGACGTTTTGTGTTTGATTATTTATTGTCGTTTTAGCATTTGAACATAAAGCTAAGTCGTTAATTGGGGACAAGAACATTGATAAATGTGTCACGGATATATCCATCGTCTAATTCTGATGTAGTGGCAGTTGGTATGCGATTCTTCTCGTGAAGATAAGTCTCACAGTGGTTCTGCCGGATTTCTGGTGTAAAACCAAAGACGTACACTGGCATAGCGAAGACGTCTGTCGCCATGCTTCTCTCATCTGGCGAAAGTGCATGTTCGCATTACACACATGGAGCAAAATAGTACCGCCATAGACTGGAAGCTCAACCAGATATGTGGTTGCAGTTTTCTTCAATAACACCAGACATCAAAAAAGTCAACACTGCATGTCATAAACAACTACATCTGCCAAACTACGGCTTGGTGTACGTTGTTTTTATACTGACATTCCACATTTTACCTTTTAATGAACTTAAACGAACTCCCGCGTTTACTCAGTGTACAGTAATGGACGTTTTCGGGACACTCCGCTTCATTCTCGGTTTATTAAAGCCTAGTTCTGTAGTTACAGATATTTCAGGGGTCCATCCTACGTGCCTCCACTAAAAATAGTCCACGGCCCCAAACTTTGAGAACAGCTGCAATAAACAAAGAAAATGGCGGGTAACCTGTGCGTAAAACACACACGCATATACACACACTCTGCTTCTGGCTATATTCACTTCCATACAAGGCTGACAATCGAGCACAGACTCGAAGAATATGCCGCGGTCTCCACCAGCAATAAAGAGCAGGTAATTGGGTCCATTCATATTGGTGGCGACAGCGGGCACTTAGGCTCCCTCACTGTAGTAGTGTCAGAAGCAACTAGATCTGACAAACACCTGTAGGAGAAAAGCCAAGCACAAGCCAATCACTCAAGTATAGCCTTGGTTGATGTATTAATCTTATACACCCGTATTACCTTGTTGTAAGCAGTAAGCAGCCTTGACAGTTTATATCATCATTCGTCAATTGGTGGCTTACTATAGGGTGTTGTTGTGCGGTGTGCTATTCTGCCGTCGCACAGCATTGAAGAGTGACGTGGGCTGTAGCAATAGTAACTTATCCATATCGGTCGTTGCCATCCATCGGTGCCCAGCGGGGTTTCGCACAGACACGTGCAAATCCGATTTCAATGGTGTAACCGAGAGGGGAACAAACTGCAATCGTTAGGAGTGCAACATCCCGGCCTGTGTAAACTTTCGGCATGTACAGGAACACACATTCTCCGTAGTATCATTAAACTTAAAACAATCTTTGCGCTTACCGAGCGGAATGATCCGGTTCAAGCGCCAATGCCTTGTTTGTTCTTATGTGCTTAATGATAATCCGATCGTTGAACTGAATTAGAAGAAAGAAGACAAAGAAAGCTTCATCATTGGCTTGGACCAGATGAATATGCTGCATTCGCTGGGACATCCATTGTAAGGGCAGTATTATTAAAGTTTAGGATAGCACGCATTTTATGGCTGGTCTGAACGGGCTAGATGCGTTTGGTTAAGTCACGGCATTTCATTTCTCGGGGAAGCAATCTTTGTTAGCCATGTGGCATAGACTACTCAGAAAGCCTAAAGAAAAAACTGGATGTGGACTGTGACAAGCTAGATCAACTGTTCAAGCGAGACCAAGTTATCTTTGTCTTCGTTGAAAACATGGTTCTTTTGACTCCTACGAAGTTCTGCAGAGCGAAAGACTAAGAAATTTAAAGTATGCGGACTATGAATCTTTTGTGGGTTCCGGCTCCTCTACCATACAAATGCTGCTGGGTAGGTTAACGCGGAACGTTATATGATACGATACGTGAGTTACATTTTCCAGTTGACTGGCAAGGTTTCAAAGATTATTTGACTGTGCACTCTTCCAAGCATTACCGAGTAACGACTGGAAAGGATTGATTCCTTTGTGCATTTCTGGCGACTGAATTACCAAACAGCTTACCTCGCCTCCCGGAGAGCTCTCATTCAAGGGAGTTCGAACCGGTGACCTTATGGTTGCAAAGCAAACGTGTAGACCACTCGGCCATTGGCCGACCAACCATATAGTCCTAAGAAGTGCTGCCCTCTCAGGGAGGCGTTAGCATGCTGGTTAACTATGCCTTCTCTAACTAAATTGAATCTATAGAGTAGTCAAATGTATGTATGTATGTATGTAATCTCAACAGTCTAGTAACTAGACATAGAGCCAAGAAAACCATGGAAATCAGTGTATAAGAGACAGTCATTGCGTCATAATCGTCATGGCATGCTAGCTGAAGGTGGGCAACACACTTCAGCTAATATTCCGCAAGAAAATGGAATATTTTGACAAAAAATACAGAACAAAACATTTTTAGTTTGTTTGTCACACGCCGGTTTTTCTCTTTTTTTGTCATTTTCAATTTTTGTAGAATTAAACATGTGAATCAACACAACACTGTACACAATTCTTCCATTGATTCCGGTTGCGGGCCATGTCTTCAAGCGTCCTAAGCCATTGGCACTCGCCATCTTTGGGTCCCCATCCTGGAAGACGTACGGGTCCAACAGCGGCTAGACACGAAGTCAGCGATTTCATGTGCTGCCGCCAAGTGGAAGGCTGACCACCACGCGGTCGCTTCCAGCCAGCTCCTTGACGAGCGAATAGAGCGCGACGCGGTAGACGCTCAGGTGCCATGCGTAGGACATGACCGAGCCATCTTAACTGGCGCAACAAAACCCGTTTGTTGAAGAAAATACTTGCATTCCCCAAGACGCGACGTCGAACGTCATTACTGGTAACTCGATGTTGCCACCGAACACGAGCGCTCCTCCTTAAGCAACCGGCATCGAAGGCAGAAAGATGACGCATGTCTTCCACGCGAATCGGCCAGGACTCGCACCCATACAACAATACTGAGCGAACGGACGCGCTGTAAACTCGGCCCTTTAGTGAGAATGAGATGTCGCGATGACGCCACAAGTGCCTCAGATTGATAAATGCTGATCGAGCTTTAGCGATACGAAGCGAAACTTCTTTGTTGATTGTGCCGTCAGCGGAAACACAGCTCCCAAGGTAGACGAAACTATCTACCTGTTCAAGTTGTGCACCTTGGGGAGTGAGCACGGGTGCAGGTGAAAGCCAATCCTTGAGAAGTACTTTACACTTCGATGGGGCGAAGCTCATGCTATACTTAGATGCTTCAACCGCCAAACGATCCAGAATGAGTTGCATACCCTGAGGATCGTCACCAAGTAAGGCGATATCATCAGCATAATCTAAGTCGGTCGCGCGCTCACCCGGTAGAAGCTCTAGGCCAAAATGTTGGAAACCTTCTAGGGCATTCGACAGAACGTCTTCGATTGCGAAGTTGAAGAGGAATGGGGACATAGGGCAGCCCTGTCGCACACCGCTATTGACAGTGAATTGCGAGGAAAGCTTGCCATAGACCCTCACTCTGCCGGATGTGTGAAGGTAAAGTGCTCGTAAGATGGCGATATACTTCTCTGGCACCCCGTAGTAGTCAAATTCCTCCTAGGGAAAAGCACATCCCGCCGTAAATCACTCGAAAGAGCTCTCCTCACAAACAACTTGCATACGATGAGTGTGCACACCCAAAACTGCGTAATGTTCGCTGTATCAGACGATGCGAAGGGTACAGATGATTCTTGAATTCAAACGCACTTGCGGCATAGTGGGGTGCGACGCAGATCTATCGCAATTTGGGATGCGTCTAGCCAAGTTCTAAGCTCAAAGTCAACAGTACCTGACTGCACTGAAGAGATTTGCATGCAATCGATGGGGCATTTTCATCAAACATCCGCGGTACAGCCTGTGTTTAGCGGTGGCTACATGTAGTAACTAGTGGGTGGTGACTGTGGTCGCTATTGTGAACCTTAAAGGCCCTTCTCCGTCTGTGTCATATGCGCGTAGCCGTCGCGCGCTATCACTGAGCGAAATGCTAGTGGCTGCTCGCACACCGCTAGGCTCACACATGGTGGTGACACCCTGAGCGGTCACAATCCAATTGACCTCGTACTCGGACCGGATTTACTCTCACAAATCTCCTCGCAAGCACGTGTGCTCACGATTATGGGAATTGGCCTAAAAAACGTTGTTCACTGCATTCTATCTTTCTAATGTGGCATTTGCAGATCACATTTATCCTCTATATGGTAGTTCTTGTACAAACATGTGCAACATAGTAATGGTTGGCTCAAACGAAAGCCAAATCGGACAGCTATGTGACGAACTAATAACCAAAGCTTCTGACAGCTAAGTAAAGAAGCTATCGGATCTTCTCTGCTCCTTGTTGTTCAGTCTCTTTTTTACACCGCAGATGGAATTCTGAGCGGACGACTCAGTCAGTAACACCTACTCCGCGAGCTATGCGACGCATCGCGGCGTACCGCAAACGCGCTACCAATCCATAGCACAGGGGACAGACGGGAATTTACGTGGGTTTACCATAGGGCACAGCCGAGCGCTCAGCTACTAACCCGAAGTGCATCGATCGACAGAACCGCGAAACAATGTGTTGTAACGACCAATCCAAAGAAGCCCAGTCTAACGTATCTACACCGAAGGTACAACGTGGCTTTCCTTCAGACCAACAAATGTACTGACAGGAATCCAGTGTTCTAGTAGCCTTACCAAATTTCATCATACGTGTGCTCAATACATAGCAAACCAGTTGAAGCTGCATAACCTCAGACCAGATTCTCTGTACTTTCGTGCAGTATGTATGATCATCCCACTGGTCAATAATGTTAACGAATTAGCTCAGCAATACGAAAGACTGGTGGCAACAACTGAACAAATCAGGAACACCAAACTCACTTGTTAGAAGAAGGCATCAAACAGTACATCCCAGTCCTTCCAATTATGCTTTGCTTCAAAAGTGAGGAAGATGGCTGGGCAACGCGTTAAAATGCGGCACCTGTGGTTTTGGATGTTAATGCCACCAGTACACAAATATTCCCGAACCAACCGCCGTACGACCGACTGGAATAATTACGGCACTGGTCTAGTCCACACTCCAAACTGTTCCGAAATTGCAGAAAAATGCTGACATGTGTGTTGGCTGGTACGTGGTTGCTGTTGAAGGCCGCGGCAAACTTAAGCCTTCCGTTATTACCCCCTTACCAAAAATAAATGAATAAGGCGAATGCGTACTTACACAGTGTTCACCGATTGCATACAGCTCCTCGAGGCGGTCGAGCTCAACCCAGACTGCACAAATGGTCAACAAAAAGCCACATAGTGCACCATCAGTATTATGCATTAAAGTCCCAGAATCAACCACAACTTCCTTAGAATGGAAGCAACTCGACGATGTGAACTGGTTGAAATTCATACATGAAATCTTATGTGTTGTAGCTAAGCTCGCTACTTTGATGCGGGTCACCCTTCACCCAAACTCAAAACTACGATGAACTGAGGTTACTTCGAGTTGTATTGACTTGCGCCGATATAAAAGAAGCAGATCTGTTATCTGCAGCTGGTCTGCGGTGTGGGTAATGTTACATCTGCAGCTTCCCGAATATTACGTGGAGCGAGCGTAAATAGACGAAGCACCGCTTGAAAAGACACTGGAAGCAATTCGTAACCAGAACCATTCTTGTAACCGGCATTCCTGTGGCTTAAGAGTATGCTGAATGGGAAGTGACCGCCCACGACCAGCAATTGTGGCGCCACGTTCGACATAGTGCAACTGGTCTCGAAACCTCTAAATTACAAAGGATTGTGAAGGGGTGCTCCAATCCCAGTGACTTCTTACAAGGCTATTCTAGTGTTGGGATTCGTATCGCACCATATTACCTTCTGAGCTCCAGACCAGAGCGACCTCTCCTAAGCAAACACACGAGAGCAGCAATTTGATCCAGCCACTTCCAGACAACGGTCCGGATTACATCAGTCATCTAGCTGAAGAAACTGGTGAACGCAACCTACAGGTTACACACATAGGGATGAGCAAACATGAAGTGGCAGGATATCTGGATCAGACACAAGTGAGTTCGTCACCGCCACATCCAAAAAACGACTTGTGGCCGATCTTTCACCAATCAGCACAATATAACATCTGGCACACGTCACCCGACTCAGTACTGCGAACAGAGAAAATTTCCTTATGTACCTCAATGTACAAGGTCTCCGGAACATACCTGCTGAACTGGGATCTCATTTTTTAACTAAAAGTTGGCTGCACGCAGAAATTACCGACGTCTAAATTTCGATAAAAGAAAGAACGATGGAAAGAAAGGCAGCAACAGTACACCGGTACGCTTTAGCGACCCTTCGCTGCTGCGCTACGACCACAGTCGTACGCGGGCTAAGGATACTGTGAGGATCACCTTGTCCCTACACAGGCTGGAACTCTCGCCGTCTGGTTACAACACAATCTCGTGGTTTTCAGGCCACCTGGCTGCGATACACGAAATATCCCTTGTGGGGAACGACCGCCC